ATCCTCGTTTCCAGATTCGATGGCTATGGGTTTGCTTAGCATCAGGCCAGGGAGAACCCCCTTCTCGGTTTACCGATGCTGGCAGCGACGGCGTTTGCGGATGTCGTTTCCTCCTTGGAGGCGTTGTCAAGGCCCTCGACTACAACCCTCTTCAAACTCAGGGGAAACCCTAGGTCCAGTTCCTCCGGATCGGATGGCGACGGCGTCTCGGCGTCTTCTTCCTTCTTGAAGGCGCCATCTTGCTCGCTTGCGGTGTCCCTGAGCTTGGCTCAGGTGATGTTGGTGATCTTGTTGGTTCGGGATTTGCCGCTCTTGGTTTGGGCCTGGTTGGTTTAACTGATTGTATCCTCTGTTCGGGGCGAGCATCCCTTGTCTCTCTGCTCCGGGCACCATGTTCACGCCTGCCTGCGTTCGTATCATGTGTTCTATCGTCATCGTACTATTTTTCTGGTCCTTCTATCAATAACGCAAGCTTTGCGTATTCGTAAAAAAAAACATCCGTTCGAGTGCTTCTGGACGGAGGGAGTATTAGGTAATAAACAAATAGGACATCAATGAATTTTATTACGTCTGCTTGTCAAGAGGGCAGGGTGCTCATGCGATTCTACTAAAAATACTAAAGTTGGCCTAATTATGCAGCATGATTGATTAGGTGAAAATTATGCAAAAACCTTGACAAAACCATTAATCAAAACCAGACTTCCCCACCAAACGCAAACCGACGACCAAGAGACCAATGACAGGCGAACCAACCTATGGTTAGAATGGTTAGGTGAACATCGGTATCCCCATCCACCAGAGTTCAAGTCCCGGTGCTCGCATTTATCCAGAATTTATTTTAGGATTTCCGGCGATAAGTTTTCAGTGGGAGGAGACGTTCAAGGTGACTACGATGACTTCGTAAAATTTCAAGATGTTATGCCGGCTCAGTCTCTCGAAAATGCTCATAGGGGTAAGGTGTGGTGTGCGTTCATAGAGGTGAATGTATCCGCGTTTATATAAGCACTTGCGTTGGTATTGTATTAAAAAAAAGACCAATAACCGACATGGAGAAGCCCTTCGGAGAAAATCAGAAAATGTCACCCACGAGCATCAACATGATCACCATCGACGAACATCACTGTTCATATTTTGTTCATTGGATCTCCAGTCAATTATTACTCCCTCCTTTTATTTTTACTTTACACATAAGAGATTTGCCTAAAATCAGGCTTTATAAACTTTGATCAAATTTACATCAAAAAGTACCATCATCTACAGTATTGACATAATATAAAAAATAATTTCATGATGAATTTATGGTTAAGATAGCCTGGTGGAAAGCATCCATGCATGTGCACGCACGCATTCCCCAAGGGTAGCTAAGCTAGGTTGAAACTCGAAACCGACAATAAATTCTCGAAACCCCAGCCCTGCTTTTTTTATACTACCACTAGACGCGGTGCTTCTGTGCGCGAGCACACCTGGTCTCTTTATCTGGGCTGTTGGCGATGGCTTTGTGATTCGGTGCATTTATTTCCTGTGCCAGTGTACTACTCCCTAATAGATCAACATGAGGCGGAATACGGGGTACGAGCGCTAACGGTTCACCGCCGCCGTCACCAGGCAAAATCAGAGCCGTGGCTCGTGACGTCAAGAAACTTCTGATCCGTGGATCAGGAAACTCGCTTTCTAGTTCGTGCGGCAGGTGCGTAGTAAATGAAGGATGGAGGACTGGTTGTTGTTGTCTTCTACCTCATTCCCCCGGCTCTTCCATTGCCGACTGCCGGCTTACAGGGCGGCAGATTTTGCGGTGGAATACGAATCAAAGGAAGGAGATGGAATTCCTGATTCAGCCAATTCGAGTCGAAGGCATCCTCTGTTCTGTCCCTTGTAGGCTGATTTGGTATACATTCTTCTTTGTAATCTAGCACTATTTAAGCATTTGGTGACGCAGGAGTACGGCGCTGGAAGAGGTGAACGACAACGACGTTGCCATGGAGCCACTGAACTACCCAGTGGTAACGGTGGTTGCAGTTCTGCTGCCGCCCGTGGCGGGGGCGAGCAAGGACGGCCATATCTGTGCAGCAGAAGGGGCGGCTCGTGGTGGGAGGGGGAACCGCGAGCTTCTGAACAATTTATTCGTCAGATAGACCCAAAATCTCATTCATGGATGTGCAGGTATGAACTTGTTTTATACGAAGTAGGATGGTAAGTTTGATGTGTGGATTGATGAACTAAAAGTGTTAACGGAAAAGAGTGGAAATTAGGAGCTGCTGAGTATTCTGCTTGGAGTGATTCAATTTCTTATGTGCACTACATTGCATTTACAGTTCTTAGTGGTTAAATGTGTGCTGGGGTAGAAACAAACAATCTGAACTTACTGTTTGCATTGCAATATAAATGGATTTTCGTGGATCATTGGTAACACTTTGAGGAACATCATCGCTTAGTACATGGAATGGTAGTTCAGTAGTTTGTTGTTGAGAGATACATTTGGATTTGGGCAGTGGGTTAAAATGCAGAATGGGGGAAAACATTGGTGGGGTGCAGTTAAAAAGTTCAGAACTATGGACTGTAAATGCTATCGCAATTCGACAGGGTTCAGAAGTACATCCTGTCCGCCCTGCAACGAAAAGTCCATCCTGCAATATAATTTAAACTTAGTGAGAATTTCTGTGGGTGTAGTAAATTTTAAAGTAAAATTAGTACTCGGTTGGATGTCCTTTATTAGGTTTTTCATGTGAGCGATCATTAGTCTGTTCTTGAGGTACATTTGCAGTTTGGACATGGTTTAATAAGCGGTATGAGGTAAAATCTGTGGTGACAAGAAGCGAAAATGTTCAGAGCTATAGACTGTAAATGCTTTCTCAATTCGACAGGTTCGGAAGTATGACCTGCAACATAATTAAATAGATCGATAATTGGAGATTCTATGAGTGCATAGAAAAATTAGGATAAGCTGGATGTCATGGGTTCTGTTTTTAATGTGTGTGGTGCTGGGTTTTTGTTGCCTATGATGCGGACGATGTTGGATTTGTTGTGTACATGATCGTAATGGCAATGTTTTAGTTCTACCAAATTCAATTTTTTTTTGCAAGTCTGAAAGCGTTGGAGCTTGTTTTTTTGAGTGCAGAGTGAGGATTGGGGCAGCAGCTCCAGGAAGAACGACAATCCCTGGTCGCACTAGTGCGCTGGAGAAGACAATCTGTGGTTTTGCAGAATACCCTGGAGACAATGTCATCGTGCCTACATTGGGGGCAAGCTTTCATTCTTTAAGCAAGGCTTACGACTTTTACAATCTTTACTCGTGGGAGAAGGGATTTGGGCATTAGGTACGGGAAAAGTCGTCTAAATGTGAAGAGGACAAAGTGTGTGGCTGTGCATTAAGTACATTTTATCTGCATTGTATCTGTATACTGATCATAACTAGTTGGGAATTGATACGATGGTAAATGATTGATGGTCCTGAAGGAATTCAGAGCTTATGTTTACCAGGGAACCAGGAAAAAAAATTAGGATTATGTTTGCTACGGCGCTTGTTCTCCTAATGGAGACAAAGGGTTCACTCCAATTAGTTGTCACATTTCGTCATTTTGTACACTCTAGAGCTCTCTTAAGATTGGAAGAAAAATGTATGTGGATAGCTCTTGTTGTGACCTTGTTTGCTCACCATTGTCTTTGAATCGACTATGAATTCATAATTAAGCATGATGATAGTGATGCTGAATTTATTACATTAGATGATATATGGGCTCATGATAATTGAATATGCATGGTTGAACTACAGGCGGCTACTCACTTTAGTTTGCGACTTGAAATATATCTCACGCATTGCAGAAAATCATGCATCTAATCTAACAATCATGTGCCTCTTAAAATATAAGAACACTTGATTGCCACAGGTGTGACTCATATCAGTTGGTATCAAAATTTAAATAACTGATTTACACTTCACATTTCCATCTGACTAAATTAAGTCATCTATTTTGGAATGGAGGGAGTATTATTTTGATATGACTAACTATAGGAACGAGGTTTGATCCTTTGTACGGCTCATGTTTGATCGTTTCTTTACTGTAGACCATTGTGTTGTATGGCTAAGTGTGTGCGGCTAGAATGTGTTGGATTTCCTGTAAAATCTGTTTTGTTTGCATGCTTGCTGAATGTGTTGCAGTGCTGATGGATGTGTTAATGACTCCTTTCTGAATAAACATGAAACTCCTCTGCGTGTATATTCAAACTGATAGCAAGCTTAGTATGGATGATGTCTGTTACTGAATTGTTTGTCAGCATGGGCATGAATTCTGAATTTTTTGACAGTATGCTGATGTATTCTGATTTTTTTGACAGTATGATCAGCTCATGAGCGTGCATACTGAATTTTTGACTGAATGCTTGTGCAAACAGAGTGGCGAGCATATTCATGTTTGAGCTGACTTATATATTCAAACAATTGGATTGCAAGCATGGTCCCTGTTACGTGAATTTTAAAACTGACGTAATCCAATGTTTGCCTGCTGGAATGGGGCACGGGATTGAAAGCAAGACAAGTGCATGCATCTGTGAGGTCGGGCGCCCAGTGCTTTGTGGATCCTATTCCAAATTCAAACTGAACGAGCGTTTAGTCCAGAATCTGCAAGCTGACGGCCCACCCCGTTACAGACAGGCTGAGCCGGAGCCCATTTGGTTGACGTCGTAGCAGTGGCCGTTTGACAGAAGTGGGCCAGTGGAACTGTTTATTAATAGATATACGGGAGAAATACCTGGGCTTTTTCACGTCAGCTTGTGGATCACGAGGACCACGGGCGGGAGGATACCGCGAGCAGGTGTGCTCGCGCTCAGAAGATCACTTTCGCTATACTAGTACAATTATTGATCGAGTTGGAGGAATCTTGTCACCTGCATGCACAGTAGCTAGCCCGCATGTGAAGAGGAGGTAGGTACGCCCCGCGCGCCTTGCAAACGGCACAGGCTCGCAAGCATATATACTACTACGGATCAGTTGAAGGAAACAAGCCATGGCCAGTATTGGTGCTCCCACGCCCGGCGCAGCCGGAGAGAAGGAAGAAGGAGCTGTTGCACCGGTAGTCACCGCCACCCCGAGCCCGCACGCCAACCTAGCGGAGATCACGCCATCGCTCCCCACGGCGCCGGGGTTCCCCCCGTACCGGTTGCGCCGGTACGGCGGCTTCTGGCTGACCGACCTCTTGCTCAAGTTCGTCGGCGCGTCGCACACGCGCTTCAGGCCGAGGCCCACCGACGTGATCCTGGTGAGCTTCCCCAAGACCGGTACCACCTGGCTCAAGGCGCTCGCCTTTTCCGCGCTCAACCGCTCCGCTCACCCGCCGTCCGCCGGGGGAGACCACCCGCTCCAGCGCAACAGCCCCCACGACCTCGTCGGCTTCCTCGAGCTCGCCGGGGAAGACGACGATGGCCTGATCTACGAGGAGATCCCTTCCCCCCGACTACTCGCCACCCACCTTCCCTACTCCCTGCTGCCCCACGGCATCACGGGTCCGGAGGACGGCTCCGGCGGCCGGATCGTGTACGTCTGTCGGGATCCCAAGGACACGCTCGTCTCCTTCTGGCACTTCCACTTGAAGACCACGGCCACACTGCAACGGATGGCCGACGTCGGCGGCGCGTCGTCCGCCATGCCAACGTTTGAGGAGGCGTTCGAGCTCTTCTGCAAGGGCCAGAGTGTGGCGGGGCCACAGTGGCGCCACACGCTCGAGTACTGGGAGGCGAGCCGCCGGAGCCCCGATCAGTTGTTGTTCCTCAGGTACGAGGACATGCTGCTTGACCCTTCGGGTAGCCTGAGGAAGATGGCGGTGTTCATGGGATGCCCCTTCTCGCCGGAGGAGGAGGCTGACGGGGTGGTGCGCGACATCGTGGAGCTCTGCAGCTTTGGGACGCTCAAGGGGCTTGAGGTGAACAGGAGCGGGAGCACAATGCTGGGGCTCAAGAATGAGGACTTCTTCAGGAACGGCACGGTGGGGGATTGGAGCAGCTGCATGACGCTGGACATGGCGGCGCGGCTGGACGGGATCGTGGCCGAGGTGCTCCAGGGCTCCATGCTCACCTTTGGTGCTACCTCCAAAGATTAAGCCTAGCTTACTTACCCACATGCATGGCCACATCGTTGATTTTATGTGTTTTTCATGTGATTGCTGCCATGCCAGCGAGTTCAAGCCTTATCCTTGGCCATCACTTTAATTTCTTCCTCAGCAACATCACTTTCTTTCTAATCACCTTCGCTTGAGTAAAAGTTTTGCGTATATTCATACACTGTTGGGGGCTTGCTATAGAAATGAAATTAGGAGTCATATAAAATTCAAACTAAAATCATCTGAATGCACACATTGGATGTCGGGCACATATTACATAACAACTTAAACAAATCAACCACTGTGGCGGGCGTGACTTCTAGACATGGTGGAATTCGATGATCCGGGGCCATCTCATGCTTTTGGATGTCTCCACACCTTTCAACTTTTAACACTGCCCGACGTCCACTATCTCTTGCACGCTATCCAGTAGAGTGACCAAAATTAAGAAGTTAAGGAGAGAGGATGGGAGTGTGATGGAGGAGGAAGGAGCTATGAAGGAAGTAGTGACTAACTATTTTAAGAACATTTTCACTTCTATTGCAGGTACCCGCATGGAGGAACTCTTGGGTCACATTGACACAAGAGTGACTCCGGCCATGAATGAATTGCTTTGCAAGGAGTTCACTGAGAAGGAAGTTTTGGTTGCCCTCAATAGTATTGGTGATCTCAGGGCTCCTGGACCAGATGGTATGCCCTCCTTGTTTTACAAAAAAAAATGTTGGGATATAGTTGGTGATAAAGTTCTGCATGAGGTCATGCAAGTGCTTAATGGAGGGCCTATGCCAGCAAGGTGGAATGATACTTGTGTGGTTTTTGTTAGAAGGGAGAGAGAGGAATTGATGGAATCGTTGGTTGTATTGCTTGAGCCTCGTGGGCATATACATAGGAGTACAATGGTCATCTTGGCGTACAAGGCAAGCCAGAATATTTCCTAGTCTATCAGATGTTTCAAATCTAATCAATATACTCAACATCCCCCCGCAGTCACAACAGTAGCGACGCAGATGGTGAGATTGGAGAATAATCCGAAGGCAATCCGACGGACACCCCCCCACCCCACAATCGTCACAGTCGATTCATCGCGGAAGTCGTGGCGGAGTGGCAACCGACGAGGTTGCTCGAGCAAGGCGGTAGCCCTTTGTGCCGTATGTCGATGTAGCCGAGAGCATAGGGTGGTGTAGCAATTGTCGAGGTAGCCATGCAAAGAATGCCGTGGTTGATGTCGAGTCGGGGTAGCCGGTGTCGAGGAAGACGCCGTGGAGCCACGGGAGCAAGGAGGCGTCGAGTTAGAATGAGCGCAATGATGTCGAAGTAGGGGCGCCCCAAGAGGTAGATGGTGTTGACAAGGCGTCACGCCGGGTTTGCCAAGTCCGGGGACACGTCGAGAACGAAGGCACGCATCGGTGTTGCCAGCATCGGGCATGCGTAGACGGACGAAGACGAAGTTGACGAAGCGTCAACCAGGCTTGCCAGGCCCGGGGACGCGTCGTGGATGAAGGCACACATCAGTGTTGCCAGCACCGGGCATGCGTAGACGAGGGACCTACACAAGATGTATGCCATGTCGAGGAGTCAGAGGGGCCAGCAGAGAAGGAGACTCAACGACGGTTGTGGCATCCATCGCCGCGGGGTCGATGTTACCAACGGTTGTCAGAGTAGAAAAAGTGGTTGGGGTAGATGACAGTGACGCTGGCGATGGGCTGGTGCTGGATGAAGATGAAAGGGGTGGACGGGCGGGGTCGGCAGTTACGACGGTAGCAGCAGCGGCGGCCGAAGAAGAGCGACGGCGACGACCTGACGGCGGCGGTGGTGGCTTGGTTAGGAGCACAGCGGCGATGCTCGAAGTAGGCAAGGAATCCGACAGTGTGATGAAGATCAGCGCGGATGGTGGCGTTTCCGCGCCAAGGGAGGTGGCGTGGCGCATACCACAGGAAGTTGACACGCAGGGACGGCAGTGGACCGCGGGCCGCGGCGCCACGGCTTAAAGGGGCGACACGACGACAGCGGGTGGGTCGGGGCAACGGTGGGAAGACCTCGGGGCGGCAGCGGGGACTTCGGGCCGCGGCGCTGCGGCCCAAAGGGGCGACGCAATGGCAGCGTGCGAGTCAGTGCAGCCGCTTGGATGACCTCGAGGCGGAGGCCGGGACCGCGTATGGAGCGGCGACGCGCGATTCGATGCATCCGCGAGGAGAACTGATGTCTACTATGTAACCTTCTTCTTGTAGACTCGTGTTGGGCCTCCAAGCGCAGAGTTTTGTAGAACAGTAGCAAATTTCCCTCAAGTGAATGACCTAAGTTTTATCAATCCATGGGAGGCGTAGGATGAAGATGCTCTCTCTCAAACAACCGTGCAACCAAATAACAAAGTCTCTTGTGTCCCCAACACACCCAATATAATGGTAAATTGTATAGGTGCATTAGTTCGGCGATGAGATGGTGATAGAAGTGCAATATGGATGGTAGATATAGGTTTTTGTAATCTGAAGATAAAAAAACAGCAATGTAACTAATAACAAAAGTGAGCGAAAACGGTATTGCAATGCATAGAAACAAGGCCTAGGATTCATACTTTCACTAGTGCAAGTTCTCTCAACAATAATAACATAATTAGATCATATAACAATCCCTCAACATGCAACAAAGAGTCACTCCGAAGTCACTAATAGCGGAGAACAAACGAAGAGATTATTGTAGGGTACCAAACCACCTCAAAGTTATTCTTTCCGATCAATCCATTGGGCTATTCCTATAAGTGTGACAAACTTCCTTAGAGTTCGTAGTAAAATAACACCTTAAGACACACATCAACCAAAACCATAATGTCACCTAGATACTCCAATGTCACCACGAGTATCCATGGGTTTGATTATACTATATGCATCACACAATCTCATATTCATCTATTTAAACCAACACAAAGAACTTTAAAAAGTGCCCCAAAGTTTCTACCGGAGAGTCAAGACGAAAACGTGTGCCAACCCCTATGCGTAAGTTCACAAGGTCAAGACGAAAACGTGTGCTATAGATTCACAAATCTAGATGTCTTTGCTTGCCAAATAAAAAAGCGAAGAATAGTTATGTTAGGAAGTTACACTAGCTTTGACGATCTGAACATTCATGATAATTTTTCCGGCATTGCAACACATTGAGCACTTCAGCTGTAAGTCTGTAAGCAGTCCTCTTTCAAAGATAAAAATGTATACATGCTTCAGTGAATGGCCGCCCCTTCTATTTAAGTAACATTGCAATTGTTATTGGTACTTGCTAATCAGTATGCACTAGCAATGCGAGGAAGAATTTCTCCAAAGCTCTTAAGAGTCCTTAATCTATTCACAGCAATTACAAGTCACATACATATGCAGTTTTATTCATGTGAAATCAATGACTGATTATCTACGTCAACGCCAAGGGAAGCGGGGGACGAGGATGGGGAGTTGGGGACGTACAAATTAAGGTGAGATAGATTTGCATGATATCCGCCGTTTTGCCCACCATATTCTCCTTCATCTTATAGAGAAAGAAAGTCAGCGTACAGGTCAGAAGAAAAAAGATATTGATTGTAAGGAAGAGAACTGTCTTTTTTGGAAAGAAGAGAAAAATACTAGGGTGCTGATTTCTTTTCATTCAGCCCCACGATTCTGTTAATAGTTTGGATCAACTAAAAAAAGGAAGGTGTTGATCGGTTGGTTTCAATTGGAAAGAGCTATTAGTATCCTTTTATTTTTTTTCAGAACAAATCCGTATCCTTTTATTGGAGAAAGAAAGTGTTGCAAAAAAGAAAAAAGGGAGGAATTAAGAGGGCGATCAGATTTAATCCTTGATATCTGTGTTAGTAATACATACATTCGTGCATACTGATTGATCTTTCCATATGTACGAGTGTAGGATGATTCAATTTTAGTTGTTGGTTGAGGAACAAGTGTCAAGATTGCTGCACCTCGATTTAATTTCATGGCTCAGTCTGCACTTGGAGGAAGTACTTTGTAGCAGATACTAGAGAGCACCGCCGCCGTAGGTTCATGCCTTGGCGCTCCTCACCGGCGCAATTTCCCAACCATCTCTTCCTATTGCCATGTTCTCCTTTTTCCTGCAGGAACTCTTCTTTTGGTGGTCGTTCTCACAAGACTATGGAGAGACTGAAAACATGGGACCATATGGTGGCTGAAGAAGGTGGACATCCTTGATTGCCTGTCGCCTTCTTGTTCGGAGGTAAATCAACAAGCACCCTTATCTTACTTAAGGACGGATTGGATGCGAAATATTATTGTTTGTTCAATTTGTGTTCTATTTAGTGGATTCTGAAAGATGAAACCAGTATGGTGGCATCTACAAAAGAACCATGGCATGTCTTTTTCATGGTAGTGGTGTGTGACCATGAATGCAGCAATGAGGATTGCTATGTCGATTCTTTTGTTGTAGCAGACTACTGATATGATAGTCGTATGTATATTATTTTAACCTTACAAAGTAACCAGTGAGTTAGAGATCACAAAGTCAGGTTTAACTCTCTAGAAGTGAACTTAATTGGTTTGCTGAAGTGATTATCTAGAGTTTGTATTTTTTTTATTTATGGTTTGATCTTGTAACAAATAACAGGAAGATATAAACCTCTGACTCCGAGTATGGGTTCATAACTGTAGGTGTTGCAGCAAGTGTGAGTCCAATGATATAGAAATGTTTAAAGTTGCAGGTCTTAAAAACTAAGCATGGGGTCCTTCCCCTCCCTAGGCCTGGGGTTATCATTGAGGTAACAGTAGGCTTAATAAAAGAAACAAAATGAAACCATCTCAATGAGCTTTGGAGAAACACATCATCAGCTGCAGGAGCTTTGCCGGACAGGAGCTTTACCTTATTGGAGAACCAAGAACAGAGAGTGCAGAGAGGAGAAAAGAGGCTGAAGATGCGTGCCGTAAATTATAGTGGCAATACAGAAAATATATTCCATTTGAGAATGGATTTCTTTTAAAAAATACAGAGTACTTTGAATATTGTTTTTG